AAAGTAGGCAAATACATTTGCAGTTCAAGTCCAAAGGTAAAATAGGCTTCTTCTCTCTTGAGCTTTGTGGCAAGCTGTAGAAATAATTTGTCTTTTGCCTTCCAGTTGATGTCCTTGGACATTGTGTGGATGGAGCATAAAAGGCCAGCATCGTGCTCAATCTCTCCGTAGTGAGGGGAGGGGGGGGGGGCTGCAGTGTGGAGCTACTGACGTCCCTCACAGTATTGTGTGGAGTGTGTTTCAGCCTCCTCCACCTCCAGCTCTTGTCGACAAAACACCCACGCTTCCCACAACCACCTCAAACTCAGTACCCCGTCTCCATGGATATGCAGGCCTACTGTCAAGAATAAAACCACTTAAGCCTCTCACTGCTGTGTGGTGGAGAGCAGCCGAGAGAAGAGCGCACTACCACGCTCTAGCTGCTTGTGAAAATGCATAATTAACACTGAGCCCACTGATATTATTGTCATCAGATATGCATGCAAAAATAAAAGACTAGTACTTTAAGTAAAGGTAAATCTTTTTGTTGAGAGATAAAGATGTAGGAGCATTGCATGCATATTTAATGTCCTTATTAGTGAATCTTAACATATACCTAAAATGCTGATTGGTTTCTTGTATCTATTAGTCAACATGAGCATATGTCTATACTTTTTTGAAACAACATGACTTATTGTTTGTCTTCAACTCACCTTCTTTTACATTTACTGATAGAAGCCCAAATGGATTTTTAACAGACATTATACAGCGCAGTGGGAGGGAAGAAGAGGTCAAATGCCGTAAAATCTCGCTCCATAAGATATTTCTCAAGAAAATGTATCGCCATGACAACAGCGACAAGGAGAGCGGCATCAGCGCTGACAAACTCAGAGCTTCCTCACTCTGAAACACACCCTGCAACACTTTCTGTCTTTCTTCTGGCTCTTTGGTTGGTTGATGTTGATCCCAGAGGAACGAGCGGCAGTCACACTCCGTGCTCTGTCTTTCCTCCAAGGTTTAAATATCATATTAAATACAGTAGATATGGATGAAATGAACATCTGCAAAAAGATCCCTCAGAATGAATTCAATAGCCTTTGTATCTGAGTAGGAATACATTAACAATATATAACTCCTCTTTCTCGCTGTCTTTCTCTATCTGCCCTCTAAGAACAAACTTGGATGCCCTGCAGAAGAAACTAGAGGAGCTCGAGTTGGACGAGCAGCAACGAAAACGTCTGGAGGCTTTTCTGACACAGAAGCAGAAGGTGGGCGAGCTGAAGGACGATGACTTTGAGAAGATCTGTGAGCTCGGTGCAGGCAACGGGGGCGTCGTCTTCAAGGTCTCCCACCGACCCTCAGGTCTGATAATGGCGAGGAAGGTAAGCTGAAAGAGAAGGGCTTAGGTGGGGATACTAAAAGCACTGTAACTAGAGGAGATGTGTAGCCTACATTGGAATTACATTCATAACGTACATGGGTATTTTCTTCAGTATAGCAGACATGTATTGGTTTTTACAGCCACCACCAATGTTTTTTTAACGAGTGTGCAGTTCAATTTGTTTCCCATTTTCCTGTATTTGTTTAACATGAACTTTGGTTAATTGAAAAAACAGACTGACTGTCACAACATCCAAGAGTACTGTATCATATATGCAAAAAGACAGGTGGACAATGAACAAGTATATTTATTCAAGTAATATACATAAGCACAATGTTTAAGTACATGTTCTTCACCTATTATTTGCATTTCCTGATATATGCCTTATACTACTTCACTACAATTGAGAGACACATTTTGTTCTATTTATTTGAATGCTTCAGTTAAGAAGATTCAGATTGGGATTAATAGTTGAATTAAGTATCAACAAATAAGTTATTATTTGCTATGTGAGGTTAGGATAAAACTTGGATAAACTTGAAAGATAAAATGGAAATTCACAAGCTACGCTGCAGTATTTAGTATTACAAATGAAGCTCCTTTTTTCACACGCTGCAACATTTATACACATACTATTGTACAATAAATATAGTATAATATTAATAAATAATAATAATTAAATAATAATATAAAGATAGTTCTTAAAAGGGCCGAATCATTAGAATCAGTTATTTTGTACATACAATAAAGAGTGCCAACCATAACGCTGTGTTCAAATTTCAACATTTTCCTTATGATCATGCCATGTATTTCATAATAAAGGAGGATTGAATCTTGCTTTTTTTCCTGTTCTTTGTGATGTAAGAGCATACATGAAACCTGCTTCCTGCTGTGTTGCAGCTGATCCACCTGGAGATCAAGCCAGCCATTAGGAACCAGATCATTAGAGAGCTGCAGGTGCTTCACGAGTGTAACTCCCCCTACATTGTGGGATTCTACGGAGCTTTCTACAGCGATGGAGAAATCAGCATCTGCATGGAGCATATGGTACTTATCTTTAATAACTTCTGGCTGCCAGCGTGTTTATACAGCATTCACTTTGAGTGCTGCTTTACAGACTGTGAGTGTCTGGTATGCGTTGCCCTGCATGTACAACCTCATTAGTATTGAAGGATTTTGTTTAATTGGGTTGCAATGCATAAAGGATATTTGAATTTCAAAGAGTTCTTTCAGTAAATACTGTTTATATTTTAATCCTCTGCTGGCTGTAGGACGGCGGATCCCTGGACCAGTCGCTGAAGAAGGCAGGCAAGATCCCGGAGCAAATCCTCGGCAAAGTCAGCATCGCTGTGGGTAGCTCCTTCCAGTTTCATGCTCTGGACGTCACACTAGAGCTACATTTGTTTTCTTTTTGATACAAATGTGCTAGTACATTATGTCTATTGCACGACTAAATAATGTACATTTCTTAATGCACTGATATGCAATACGTGTCTTTCCAGGTCATTAAGGGGCTTGCCTACCTGAGGGAGAAACACAAGATCATGCACAGAGGTAAATTACTATTTCATTTACTAAAAGATGCTATACATTTATGAATGAATACTAAGCTTATGTGTGCTGTTAATAAGCTCACATGATGCGGAGCATTGTTCTCCACCTCACAGTAATTCCCTGTTTTGAATGCAGAGAGTAGATCTGTGTTGTACATATAAATAATGAAAGGAAATGTTATAACAAACAAGCACACGGTACACAGCATGCACTGAGGCTTTGCAGCAGTTCCTCTGTGGAACTGTCTGTTCCCTCTTGAACACTTGCCCAATATTTTGCTGTCTCACTTTCAGATGTCAAGCCTTCTAACATCCTCGTGAATTCCCGCGGTGAGATCAAGCTGTGCGACTTTGGAGTGAGCGGACAGCTCATCGACTCCATGGCCAACTCCTTTGTGGGCACCCGCTCTTACATGTCTGTGAGTTATAAAGGACACACTCCTCCTTTCCTGCTGCTCTCATTCACACATTAGCATTTACAATTCATTTTCCAGAGTGTCACAGATGTATCTCCAAGGCAACAGGACACTCACAAATTAACTGGGACTGTCTATACATTTATATCAAGTATGAAAATATCCTTTAAGCATCAGCTATGTTAAAGTATGCTTACAGCACTGGAACATGGGACAATACAAAAAAAAAACTTACGATTTGTCATTACATACATGTCACTGTATGTAATGAATTTCAGCTTTGTTGCATGTCAATCTTTATGCAAATCACTAACTGATTTTTGCATTTGTGCTGTGCAGCCGGAGCGTTTACAAGGCACCCATTACTCAGTTCAGTCGGACATCTGGAGTATGGGTCTGTCCCTGGTTGAAATGGCCATTGGACGCTTCCCTATCCCTCCACCTGATGCTAGGGAGCTTGAACAGATTTTTGGCTACCCAGTGGAAGGAGAGGCAGCCTGCGGCGAGTCCTCCCCAAAGCCACAGCCCCCCGGGCGGCCAGGCAGCAGTAAGTCTGACATTATGCAGGGTTTTTAAATTACAGCATGTTTACCACAATAAAACTGACAGCATCGTGATGAAATAGTGACCTTGAGTGATGAGGACAGTGAAGCATGAAAGAGACCATCTTTTTTGTTTTTACCACCAGCATACAGTTCCGACAGACCACCGATGGCTATATTTGAGCTTCTTGATTACATAGTAAATGAGGTGAGTGGGCTCATCATGTGATCGCATCCCCACATGGACATATGTCAACTGCTGTATCAATACAATTGCCATCTACTTACCATTTCATCATTAAATATGCAGTGCTGACCGGACCTTTTAACATTTCAGCCTCCACCCAAGCTGCCCGGGATATTCAGCTCTGAATTCCAAGACTTTGTGAACAAATGGTATGTTGGGAAATATTTAATGGCATCATACACCAATCTGATATAAACATCTCCCCAGACTTTCTGCCATCCAGTGGTGTTAAACTACATTACACTCTAAGATGACATCTCTTTTACAGTTTGGTGAAGAATCCTGCAGAGAGAGCGGACCTTAAGCAGTTGACGGTAATAGTCTTTATTTACCAGTTTTATTATTCCCTAAATATTTCTCTATAGCAATCTAACACTTTCTTCCTTAGGTGCATTCTTTTATCAAGCAGTCTGAGGCAGAGCAGGTGGACTTTGCAGGCTGGCTGTGCAGTACCATTGGACTCAACCAGCCTTTGACACCCACCCACAGTACAGCAATGTGAGGCCTGATGCGTGTACAGCATACTCCATATCCCAAGATCCTCTGATGAATGGACTTTTATCATGAGTAAAATGTATCAGTTTATACAAAGTACGAAATGGGTTTAAAAGTTGTGCCATTAATAGTTGTATATTTAGTGTACAACCTACATGCCAAGTGAAATTAATATGTATTCAATAAGGCTACATTGCGGGCCTGCCTGAAAGCCATCTTTTTCTAATGATCAAATTATTTAATCATGACAAATGCTGCTCAACCTGTGTGCTTGATTTACCTCTGCCTTGTGTCCTTACAGCGCCAACAGATTATAGTCTTTGTTAGCTTTTGTGAAATAAATAGTATTGTGAATCAAAAATGTAAATAACATGTCTGACTCGTTCATTGGAAATCAAATATTTATTATATGACTGGTTTGGCAGTTCTTCTGTGCTTTCCAGGAATCTTCTTGGGCTTCAGTATGTTGGTTTTGATCTATGGAGAGAACAAATACGTTTTTAAAATTACATACATTTAAGGCTAAAGCGTTTGCTTCCATTGGTTAGTAATACACTTTATGTCGTTCAGGACTTCCATATAATCAGGGTTCAGAAACACGGACCGGAAGTAGGAAACTCATCACAGTTGACAAGGTATAAATATATTTTAGAAACTCGTTAGCAGTGCTTACGTTTGTGTAGGAATTGCCTTCTGGATCTCCTCACTTTTCACATTCCTGGTGTAAAGGTTGAGCATTATCCTCAAGTTCTTTAGGGATTCTTCTTCAGCACTCTGCAGTTGATGTTCCTGTGATGAAAACAGAACCCAATCTTAGTATGAACTTCTGCTAAAGAGAAATGTCGTTAAAGGCTTTTGTCGCTCAGGACTTCCATATAATCAGGGTTCAGAAACACGGACCGGAAGTAGGAAACTCATCATAGTTAACAGGCTGAAATAAGTGAAAATAACTTTAAGGTGCTTACGTAGGAGTAGGAAGTGAATTTCTCCAAATCTCAGACCCGTGTTGATGATCGTGTGCATGGGCAGGCTGAAATAAACAGCTGCCAGGCACGATTGTTCAGTTTGGTCAATATCATCAAGTTCTTCAAAGGATTCTTCTTCAGCACTCTGCAGTGGAAGTTGTTCCTGTGATGAAAACAGAACCCAGTCTTAATATGAACTTCTGCTAAACAGAAATTGTATTTAAGGCTTTTGTTGCTCAGGACTTCCATATAATCAGGGTTCAGAAACACGGACCGGAAGTAGGAAACTCATCACAGCTGACAAGCTAAAAATATATGTTAGAACTTAGTTAGCGGTGCTTACGTTTGTGTAGGAAGTGCCTTCTGGATCTGCTCACTTTTCAGATTCCTGGTGTAAAGGTTTAGCATTAGCCTCAAGTTCTTTAGGGATTCACCTTCTGCACTCTGCAGTTGATGTTGTTCCTGTAATGAAAACAGAACCCAGTCTCAATATGAACTTCTGCTAAACTACAATTTTGTTAAGGCCTTGTGTCGCTCAGGACTTCCATATAATCAGGGTTCAGAAACACGGACCGGAAGTAGGAAACTCATCATAGTTCACAGGCTGAAATAAATGAAAACAACTTAAGGTGCTTACGTAGGTGTACGAAGTGCTTGTCCAAATCTCCGATTCCAGCTCAGACCCGTGTTGATGATCGTGTGCATGGGCAGGCTGAAATAAACAGCTGCCTGGTCTAAGGGTTCAGTTTGAGCATTATAATAAAGTTCTTTAGGGATTCTTCTTCAGCACTCAGCAGTTGACGTTGTTCCTGTAATGAAAACACAACCAATCTTAGTATGAACTTCTGCTAAACTACACTTTTGCTAATTACTTTTTGTCGCTCAGGACTTCCATATAATCAGGGTTCAGAAACACGGACCGGAAGTAGGAAACTCATCATAGTCAACAGGCTGAAATAAGTGAAAAATAATTCTAGATGCTTACGTAGGTGTAGGAAGTGAATTTGTCCAAATCTCAGATTCGTATTGATGATCTTTTTCATGGGCAGGCTGAAATAAACAGCTGCCAGGCACGATGGTTCAGTTTGAGCATTATCCTCAAGTTCTTTAGGGATTCTTCTTCAGCACTCTGCAGTTGATGTTGTTCCTGTAATAAAAACACAACCCAGTCTTAATATGAACTTCTGCTAAACTACAATTTTGTTAAGGCTTTTGTTGCTCAGGACTTCCATATAATCAGGGTTCAGAAACACGGACCGGAAGTAGGAAACTCATCATAGTCAACAGGCTGAAATAAGTGAAAAATAATTGTAGGTGCTTACCTAGGTGTACATAGTGCTTGTCCAAATCTCAGATTCGTGTGCATGGGCAGACTGAAATAAACAGCTGCCTGGCACGATTGTTCAGTTTGAGCATTATCCTCAAGTTCTTCAGAGGACTCTTTCTTCAGCACTCAGCAGTTGACGTTGTTCCTGTAATGAAAACACAACCAAGTCTTAGTATGATCTTCTGCTAAACTACACTTTTGTTAAATACTTTGTGTCGCTCAGGACTTCCATGTAATCAGGGTTCAGAAACACGGACCGGAAGTAGGAAACTCATCATAGTCAACAGGCTGAAATAAGTGAAAATAATTTGAGATGCTTACCTAGGTGTACGAAGTGCTTGTCCAAATCTCATATTCGTGTAGATGATCGTTTTCATGGGCAGGCTGAAATAAACAGCTGCCAGGCACGATTGTTCAGTTTGAGCAACATCCTCAAGTTCTTCTGAGGACTCTTCTTTAGCACTCTGCAGTTGACGTTGTTCCTGTAATGAAAACACAACCAACTCTTAGTACGAACTTCTGCTAAACTACAATTCTGTTAAATACTTTGTGTTACTCAGGACTTCCATATAATCAGGGTTCAGAAACACGGACCGGAAGTAGGAAACTCATCATAGTTCATAAGTTGAAATAAATATAAAGAAATGTAGGCGCTTACCTAGGTGTACGAAGTGCTTTCTGGATCTCCTCACTCTTCAGAACCACCAGTTGGACCTCAGGGATTTCCTCAATGTGGTGACCTAAAAGAGAAGATACTCAGTCAACAAAAGCTATCCACAAAAACTTTGGATGGCTTTGACTGTAGTGTTGCTTGCTCAGAAACTCATACTCGTCAATGCCTTATGACAGCTTAACGACAGCAGGCCACTGTCACTGTTCACAGGCTCAGACGCAAATTACACCATCATGGCAAGATAAATTGTAAGCTGTTTATCAATCAAAATGTCTAAACCCATTTTTGGACCCACGAAGAGAACGCTCACAACTTAAACAGTTTATCGTGCGATTGCTCCTTAGAATACTCACTTTTAGCCGACCTTCAGGGAAGCAGGATACGCCAGGTGCCGCACAGCTCATCAAGGGAAGGAGGTAATGAAAGATAAGTAATTTACCAAATGAAAAACGTTATCATATTGTGATATCCATTTACTAACAGTAGTAAATTATACTATTTGAACAACAAACCTGGGATTTCTCTGAAGGCTTTGGTGGCGGTCTTGGCTGTAGATGTGCTCTTCTGCATTAGATTCATCTGAGATTCTTCCTCTTACCACCAATCAGTCCACTCACCTTGTAGACCGGTCTTCAGGACTCGGGAGTATCCTTTTATCGAACCCATTGGACTCTACCTGTGATACCCATCCTACAGCTATGTCTAGGTCTACAGGAAACCACTCATCCGTACATCCTCTGATGGCTGAGTTTGTCTTACTGATAAATGAATCGATTAATAAATTAGATAAACACACCATTAATATATTTTATTTAGTTTCTTAATCTATATAAAAGCCATCGTGCTTCAATACCTTTTATAACCATAACAAATGCTCAACATGTGCTTTATTCCTTTCTGAATTTTTCAATGAAAGGTTCGACTCGTTCATTTGAAACAAATGATTTATTGATCACTGAACCTCGTCAAGTTTAGAACTTTATGCCTTGGGTTTTTTAGGTGCTCCCTTCTTTCCAGGCTTCTTCTTGGGTTTCAGCATCTTAGCCTTGATCTATAGAGAGAAAGAACAAGATGTCAAGTCACAATAAACTTTAAAATGTTAAGATTATGCTTCTAGCTTGAATTGTTAATTTACTTACAGCAGGGTTATGCTTGAGAATAGCATTACGTCTTGCTGTCTTGGCGTAAGGGTTGAGTTTGAGCATTATCCTCAAGTTCTTCAGAGGATTCTTCTTCAGCACTCTGCGGTGGATGTTCTTGCTGTAATGACAAAATAACGCAGTCTTAATATGAACTTCGGCTAAACAAAAATGTCGTTAAAGGCTTTTGTTGCTCAGGACTTCCATGTAATCAGGGTTCAGAAACACGGACCGGAAGTAGGAAACTCATCATAGCTCATAAGTTGCAATAAATATAAAATAACTTTAGGCGCTTACCTAGGTGTACGAAGTGCTTTCTGGATCTCCTCACTCTTCAGAATCCTGCTCAAGTCTGTGTTGGTCATCTTGTGCATGGGCAGGCTGAAGCAAACAAGACATTGAACATTTAATTGAAAATTAAAAATCCTTTGATGTTCAACTCAGAACTTCTTTTAATATCACAGAGTTTCAAAAACACGGACCATGAAGTGGAAGCTCATCACAGATCTGATCATAAGCAGTTGGGCTACAGGGAGATTGCTCCTTAAGTGCTTACGTGTATCCGGCCTTCAGGGAAGCGGGTTTACGCCATGTTCCGTACAGGTCATCCAGCTTGCGGAAAGCACTCTCGGTCCAGATGCAGAAGCGTCCAACGTGACCACCAGGGGCGAGCCTCAGGAGGTTCAGTTTGTTCACGTTCTGCAGAGTGATGCCTTCATACAGGAAAATAGCAACACTCAGGTTTAATGAGCTTGTTTGATTTAAATTAGGAATTTGAAGTTAACTCATTTAAAAACATGTACAACTGACACCCAGAAAATATTCAAACAACTTGGGACAGGAATTACTATGAATTTATTTGAAGTTTCTAGCACCATCGGTGGGCATCCACTACCTCCTGAGACAGAGGAATTTAAACTATACATCTGTAGGTTTAAGCTAACTTCATGACAGCCATTTACCTACATTTGTATACCAAACACACCTGGGATATTTCTGAAGGCTTTGGTGACACCGCCGTCTTGGTTGTAGATGATGCATGGCCCTCTGCGTTGGATACGTCTGCGGTTCCTCATCTTACCCTTACCGGCACGCATGCGCTGAGAGGCGTAGACCTAAGAAAAGAATGTAACCATTTAAATAAAGCCAGAAAAACCAAAAAAAGAGGCCTTACTGGCAGGAGACATTCTGTTTGAAAATGTTAAATTACCTTCTTAATGTCATTCCATGCCTTGAGCTTCTTCAGCAGAAGCACTGCCTCCTTGGTCTTCTTGTAGCCCTCAACTTTGTCTTCAACAACCAGTGGGACCTCTGGGATTTCCTCAATGCGGTGTCCTAAACATCAAGATAATCATAGTCAACAAAACCTATCTACAAAAACTTCAGATAGCTTTGACTTTAGTGTTGCTCTAGCTTGCTCAGAAACTCATACTCGTCAATACCTTATGACAGCTTAACGACAGCAGGCCACTGTCACTGTTCACAGGCTCAGACGCAAATTACACCATCATGGCAAGATACATGCTAAGCTGTATATTAAAGAAGATGTCTAACCCTATGTTTTGTCTTCACAAATGTTTTGGAGCTTACCCTTGGCCATTACAAGAGAGGGAATGGCAGTTGCAGCCACGGCAGAGCAGATGGCATAACGCTTCTGGGTTGTGTTGATTCTGCGGTGCCAGCGACGCCAGGTTTTGGTGGGGGCGAACATACGACCTCCACGACACATCTAGACCCAAGTCAAGGAGGTTTTGACAACAACTGAAGTAACACAAGTATTAAGAGTTCTAAATACCTGCTCAGACTCAAGGATCGTCAGCCATCTGTGCCAGCATATGACAGCAGGCATACTGTCACTGGTCACAGAGTAAGTCGCAAATTACACCATCATTGCAAGTCTTTTGTGTCAGCTCTTCTAGCTATACTCAAATAAGTTAGTTAAAAGAGCTCAAATTTTGGTTGATTAGGATACATTTCCAAAAGCACCCTGGCCAGAGCGGTGTGTACCACCACCCCTCACACGAGGGATACGGGCCACAGCTCTTCCTGTTCCCCAGGACTCTGCACTGGTCTGGTGGCCTGAAATAAACACAATCACACAAGTTACAAACAATATACATAAATGTTGTGAATGCATGCAGTCAGGAAACTTTTAAATAAAATCCTGTAACCTGCAAGTTCAAGTCAAATACACACTCACCGGCCAGTTCACTGACTGCATAAGGCTGGCGGCTGTTCTTGCGCATGTTGGTGTGAACGAAATTCACAACATCAGGGCGAATTGGAGCCTTGAACACAGCAGGCATGACAACATTCTTGCCAGAGATTTCTCCTTTCTCGGAGTAAACCGAGATCAGGGGTCGGGCACAAGCCTAGGAAGCACATTTAACAACATTGAGAAACAGATCCATTGGGATGACTAATAGAACGTCATGTACACTTGAAACTATGTAGGGTCTTTTAGAGAAATGTAAATAATTTAAACCCGTCTTAAGACCCAGCAAACCCATCTCTTAACATGTGGGGGCCTCAAACTACTTACATTAACTTTAAAACAATCTGATACAACTTGGTGCAATTGGTGACACGTCAAATCAAGTGCACCTCGCACTTAACCGAAAATAGCAGATCATTAAAGTTTTAGACATTTTCGATTTACCGTGAAATGTCAGGCTGTTGGCCTTAGCCTAGCCTAAGTGTGCTAACATGAGTTAGCCAGATATTAATTAAAGCATTATAGATGGTGCTAACGCAGTTGAAGGCATGCAATTAAGTCTCATGATATTAGCATAAACAAAACAAAAAAAATAAACCCCATTTAACGAAGTGCTATCTGATAGCTGCGTGTAACATATCTAGCACTCAGGCGACAGGCACACGTGTAACTTGGTCGACTGAAGCTGTTCGTCCAAAATGGCTCCTCGTGTTAGTTTCGCTAGCCGGGAGCATTCCATCTCGCTCCACTTTGAACCCGAATTTAAGCTTACCACAGACAATCAATACGGCTTTATTTGACAAGTACAAGCACCTAAATACATTCTAACTTACAGAACAACATTTTCATAGCGATCTGAGGGGTATGTCTTACCATTTTCGTTTATTTATTTTAGGCTCGCCGTGAACCAAGCTCCTTACGGTATGGCGGCCACAGTAAAAAAGGAAGTGTGTAAGTCACCCGTAGAGCTTTATGCCTCCGCCTTGGCGAGTATCACTTCCGCCGACAGATTATTTTTCACAATTGTCTTGCTTACCGCACGGAAAAACATTTGTAGATTAGTAACAAATTATTGCGTTGCTATTTTGACTTTGCAATAATCACACTGCTAAACAAAACAACCTTAAAGTAAGTGGCTTCAGCGGGGACTATTTCTTTACGCCATGTTGGCGCACGGTGAACGGAAAGCCCGAACTACCTCCTTAGTAAACGTTTCCTACAACAAATATTATTTAATTTCTATATATTTTACATTTTATTTGTGGTTATGTTATATATGCACTACGGCTATTTAATTCAAGTCATCACATTTAAGTGTAAACTGAAAATAAACACAAATAAAATGATGACCTGTGACCTCATGACGTCAGGACCCAAGTCAGCGCGCGAGTATCAAACATGACAACAGAAGCAGCTCAAACTTCATTCTGCTAACTTCTCTTTTATTTTCTGCATGTTATTAGTTCTGCAACAAGTAATCCGTTTTTTATTTTGCGATGGGCTCAAGGGTGATCTCCATTGCAAAGGAGTTTTACAATACTCTTCGGTGAGTCTACTTTTGGGTGCTCAACTTTACCAATGTTGCTTGTTTAGCCTTTTTAAGCTAACGTCAGATGACTGCTAGGCAGTGAATGAACTGTCACCCTTTATGTAGAATAATATTGAATTGCTTAAATACCATTAATTACCAATCTTGTCGTAGTAATGTGTGTTTTTATTCGTTTGTTTGAAGGTCCCTCCAAGATCAGGAAAGCAACAATCCATGTATCTATGAGGTATTTCATTATCCCTTAGTACAAATCGGTCGAGTATGTATCTATTAATGACGTTGATAAAGTATCTGATTAATTTCAGGAGGACACTCAAATCTTAAAGATGAATGGAGACAAAATCCCTGTGCTGAATACATACTGTGGAAACCAGCCTTTATTCATTTGTGAACAACCT